TGAGATTGACGTCGACCACAAGGCAAGAACGCAATATAGATTAACATGATAGAGGCTGATATGCTTTCAGTGAAGAGTGTATCGTTCTACAATGCAATAACCACTACCTTAATAAGTAGAGATTATGAGAAGCTGAGAACGTAATGGACATCACAAACCAGAGACGATCTGCTTATGCATGCAGTTCAAAGTGATAATCTCCGGAGAAAAAACACACACATTTGATCTGTACTTCTTGCGGTCGCCATATCTTTTGCAATTTGGCTTCAGGAATGGACAACGAGTAGCAGATACCATTGTATTTTTCTGTGCAGTATGCTTCTGTAAAAACAACGTTGAACGTTGTATCATTTATACGAGAGTTTTGCTCAAAATTCGTCTATGGGATGACATCGCGTAACCAGAAAAGAGATATCTAGACTTTTGGTTGTGTTGTCTGATGCCACTCTTGAAGACGAATCGATTACAGTCCTAAAGGTAGGAGATCCGTACATTAGAAGATAGTTGGTCTCATTGTCCGGTAATGCATTTTTGATTTTGAGCACACAAATGATATAGAATTAGTCAAGGGTTCACGGCGAGTAGAGTCCAAGTGCACCAATTTTACATCGATCCGTGGTAGAGCCGTAAAAGACACGTTGCTCGCGGCTGTTTAGGATATTTAGTTTAAACATTACTTCCTACGTTCAACTGCTGCGTACCTTTTGTTGATGCAATCTTGGCGGTCGAAGGCAAGGCATGAAGAGGCAAGGCATCGCTGATAGCCACTGTGAACGCGACCGTCCGGTTTGGAAAACGATCAGCAGTTACAATCACTCATACAGATGACTCCGAGCCGTACGGAAACTTTGACTCGAAACGCGTCCACGCCCTGTTTACCACAAAGGCACCCATGGTCAGATCGCCGGGTAGGCGAAAGGGAGATAACAACAGAAATCTTGGGGTCCTGCGCTAACCACAATTAATGAGGCCCACCGGCGATCGTTGAACGTCAAACAAAGGCAGAAGGAAACGACAATCACAACGCACAATTATATAAAAAAATACCTTACGGCGGTCGCGTGAGTGAAATATCAAATGAGTAAACTCACAAGACAAATCCGACTAGAAATGCTTTGTTGAAGCCGTATCCATTGAGCGCTTCCATCGACGATGCTCCAACTTCGCTAACCGAGTACCGAGATCGTTTTAACTGAGGCATGCGCCGGAAGATGTCTGTGTTGTGCAAGAACTAGTCCATACCGGAACGGTTCGGCTGTGCATTCGCTTCGCTGTCGCGCCGATGTTCTTCGAGAGGTAGAGGGAGAGAACGATCAGGATCAATCGATCGGCACGGAAGCACGAACCGCTGCATTCGACTGGCAGAGGATTTCAAAAATCAATAAGCGCATATGAGAGCTGGTTTAACTCTGAAAAGACGGCCACTAATTTCACTGTCATATGTTCCTGCTCGTATCAGACTGCCCAGGACGGCTGCACTGTCAGTGTCTAACATAACATAACGCATCATTAAAGTCCATTCAATTGCCGTTGGATTTCGTGCAAGT